TGTTAAAAAAAAAAAAAAAGAAAAAAAAAGAAAAAAAAAGAAAAAAAAAGAAAAAAAAAGAAAAAAAAAGAAAAAAAAAGAAAAAGAATAAATAATATAAAAATTAAAAATTAATAATGAAAAACCAATTCTTAGTTGATACTATTTATAATCATGAATATTTGAAAAATTTTCTTGCTTTATTAAAAAGTATAAAGAAGAATAATAAATTAGAATATATAGCAGAATTATGTGAACAAAATGAAATAGAAGAAGATGATGAAATGTTTCAAGTATTTTTAAATGAGCTAAATAATGTTTGTAAAAGTTGTAATAATAAAGAAATAGAGAAAAAAAGTAATGATATTACTCTTTATGAAGATTTGAAAGATATGAATAGTTCTTTTTCTAATAATTCTGAAGAAATAAATGATTTTGAAATTGAATCTAATATTTCAACACATGAAAAAAATAAAGTAACACGGATATATGTAGATGGCATATTTGATTTATCACATTCAGGTCATTTTAATGCAATGAGACAAGCTAAAAAATTAGGAGATATTGTAGTAGTAGGAATAAATTCAGATGAAGATGCTTTAAAATCAAAAGGAGTTATGCCTATTTATACACAAGAAGAAAGAGGTGCATTAATAGGAGGATGTAAGTGGGTTGATGAAGTTATTATAGGAACAAAATATAATGTAAATATGGAATTATTAGAAAAATATAATTGTGATTATGCTGCACATGGGAGTGATTTAGTATGTGATCGTAACGGAAATTTTTGCTATGAAGAAGTAAAAAAAAATAATAAATTAAAAATCTTTGAAAGAAGTTATGGGATATCTAGTACTACTATAATCAATCATTTATTGCAAGCAGTAAATAGTAATAAAACTACTTGTAGTGATACAAATAATGTTTTATCAAATGAAATTAAAGATAAGAACAGTGTTAATGATATTAATGCTCTTTCTACATCTAATACTAGTAATACTAATGATAGTCATTGTAAAAATATAAATTCAACAAATAGTGATAAAAATAATTTTAATAAAAAAATATTAGATTCGAGTGATTTAGAAGAAGAAAAAAATAATGTAGATGAGGAAGACAATAAAATAAAATCTTGTGAAAATATATTAAGTTCAAAATACAATGTAAATAGAAATAGATGTTACTTAACTACATCTTTATTGTATCAATTTATAGATAATAATGAAAAAAAAAAAAAAAAAAAGGTAGTTTACGTTGATGGGTCTTTTGATATTTTTCATATTGGACATTTAAAAATTTTAGAAAATGCAAAAAAATTAGGAGATTTTTTATTAGTAGGAATGCACGATGATGATGTAGTTAGAAGAATGAAAGGAAAATATTTTCCAGTAGTAACATTATTAGAAAGAACTTTAAATGTGTTAGCTATGAGAGTTGTTGATGATGTAGTTATCGGAGCACCTTGGATAATTACGGAAAGTTTTATTAAACGTTTTCATATTGATGTAGTTGTAAGAGGAACTATAGTTGATTACATTTATTCTAATAATGAAATTGATCCTTATGCAGTACCTAAAAAACTGAATATATACAAAGAGTTATCATCACAATCAGTAAGAATAATAACAAATAAACAAAATTTATATTTTTGTATTACTAATAAAAAAAAAAAAAAATAAATATAAAATGAAAAAAATCGTATAAATACATATATATTATTACATTTTTATATTATTTTCATTTATAGAATATTACAACATTTGAAATTATTGAGAGAATTGAAAAAAATAAAAAATATTTAATGAATAACATGTCTAAAAGGTATATTTATAAAATACATTAACTAATTATATAATATATATATATTTATATATTTATAAATATTTTTGCTTATGTATAATTTTTTAATTATATTTTCTTGTTTAGGAGTAAAAAAGAAGAAAACATATGGAAAGTTAGTAACTCATATATTTTAACATAAAAAAATAATTTTTTTTTTTTTTTTTTTTTTTTTTTTGAAAGTGATTTCTAGAAATAATGTAAATTAATCTAACTTTTATTTTGTAAATGCGCACATATAACATAAATATTTTGTGTGCAAAAGTAAAAAATCTTAAGTCTTTTATTATTATATTTGTTTTTATAATTTATAGAAATATTAATTTTTCATATTTTTAGATTTTTATTTTTTGGATATATATAAAAAAGTTTATATTCTTATTTTGATTATATTTACTTTTTTTTTTTTTTTTATATTTATTAACATATATATATATAGAAATATATATATTTTAATATAGTTATTTTCTTTAAAGGTGTATATATATATATGTATCATTATTAATTTTAAAAATGTAAATCATTTTTTATTTATTATATCATTTAATTTGTTTCAAAGTATTATTTTTTTATCAACTTTTATTAAAATAATTAAAAAATAAAAGTATTTTCTTTATATATATATATATATATATGTATTTAAAAAAATATATAATGGAATATATTTTAAGTAACGAGGAAATTAAGAGAGTTATAGAAAAAAATGAAATATACTATTCTGTTATTGAATTAAATGATGTTCTTTATTTAAATAACAAATTATATAGAAGAATAGAAAAACTTCAAAATTTGCAAAATTTAAAAACGTTATATTTGAATAACAATGGTTAATAAAAAAAATAAAATTACAAAAAAAATGTAAATATTTATTTAAAAATATATATTTACTTTTAGCTTTAGAACATATAAATGGCCTTGATTGTTGTATTAATCTAATTGCTTTGTTAGTATAAAGAATTTTATTTAAACTAAGCAGAACAAAAAATGAAGTTACATTATATAAAAATTAACATTCATGAACAATTTACAATAAAAATATACATTTGTAAAAAAAAAAATTTGCATCAAAATTCTCAGCAAATGATAGTTTTTTTTTTTTTTTTTTTTTAAGATACCTTAATTGTAATAAAATTTCAAAAATTGAAAATTTAGATTCCTTAAAAAAACTAAGAATATTAAATTTAGAAGATAACAACATATATGTTATAGAGAATCTGGGTAATATCTATTTATAATATATCCCGAAATTTTATGGAATTTCTATTTTTTTTTGTTTTTATTTATTCTTTTTTCTTTTTAGATAATTTAAATTATTTAGAAGACTTAAATCTAAGTAACAACTGTATAGGAAGCAAAGGGTTTTCTAATATTGCTAATCTTCATAATAACAAATATTTATCTATTTTAAATTTAAGCAATAATCAAATAAATGAGGACATTTTGGAAAATTTAGTTCATTTTAAAAATCTATCTATTTTATATTTAATGAATAATCCAATTGTAATCATACACCTATTTAATGCAATTTTTAAAATATTTTGATAAGATACATAATGATATTTTAACAAATATATCATTTAAAGAATTTTTCACTTGTATTATAATTTCATATTAACAAAATAAAATATTTCTCTTTAAAATAAAAAATTTTATTCTTGTATATATTAATTTCATAAAAATTCTTTATTATGTAATTTATTTTAATCACTTTTTTTTTTTTAGCTGTTGAAATACAAAAATTATAGAAAACTATTTCTTCATAAATTAAAGAAATTAACTTTTCTTGATTACAAGCCAATTAAAAAAGAAGAAAGGAGGTTCAAATTATTAATTAAAATAATTTACATAATATATATTCTTTTTTTTTTTTTAACCCAATATACATAATATGATTAAAAAAATGTAGGTGCGTTGAAGCTTTTTTTGAAGGTGGTTTTAAAAAGGAACAAGAAGAAATGGATAAAATAAAAAAACAGAAAAAAATAAAACATGAAAACGCTGTAGAATGTATAAAACTTCATAAATAAAATTAATATTATTATATACAATTCAAAAAAAAAAAAAAAAAAAAAAA